ATTAACTTTTATGACTGATTCCTTTCAAGGAGAGAAGATTGATTTATATTTAAACTACTGGGTCCTCTCAGCAGTAAGCAAGCGATTACATTACACGTTCAGTTTATCACACATTTGTAAAGCCTACCACACAGTAATAGCTCCACATTTTTTACAACTGCAATAATATTTGGTTGCAGAAAATTCTTCAGTTTAGAGCCAGCATAAATATCCAAAGTATACAGTTTTCTTCCATAAAACGAATGGGCTGTTACATGCACTGCAGCTACACTGGTTCTGCTGTACAATGCAATTCCTTGTCCTTGGAAACTGCCCCAAATCTCTTATATCAAAGCTGTTAAGGGTAGGTACTTCCAGAATTTCAAGTGCAGCTAAAACTATTATTAGAAAGTATGCTTTTGGGTGGATGTTTCATTGCTACTAAGCCATCACAAAGTCAACAGTGCTTTTATGCAGCCAGCTTCTTGTCTCACTTCACACAAACAGACTCTCAAAAACACTCTTAAAACTTTTGCCAGAAAAAAAAGACTCCCACTAACAACAAACAGACTTTGATATTTGGCTTGCCCACATTAAAATTTTAATCATATTAAATATGCATATTAAAAATGCTTGTCCAGCATAGCTGTGTTAAGCACAATATTTAATAGCAGTTTCAGGACACCTAAAAATATTCCTGGTGCTACAGGGCTCTGAAGCATGCTGTGGAGTATCCTCCCCTCTTCATCTCAACTACTGTAAGAAATTGTGCAGCTGGTTAACTGAGAACACAATAGTCCTGTATCTGGACAGAAATCATCTCCAGATGAGAACTACTTTTCTTAAAAATGCTTTGTACCAAAACTAGTTTATCAAAGGTGTTCAGAGATTCAGATCTAGAAGGGTATAATTTCAGTTCAGCCTGCAGCATGCTGTAGGAGTCACACACTAGGTGCTGGAATGTTTGTACAGAGTATTTGTTTTTGTTCAGATCAGCATGCAGAAGACAATTCAGGCAGCACTGGGCGAGATCACTTTGCAGTGGTTCAGGTTATTCAATCCACAGAGGACCCAAAGTTTTACACCTGGTAAATACTAATCCACCTCACACATGTGCAACAAAGTGCATATGTGCAGTTCCATAGGGTTTCATCCCACTACCGGCCAGGTTTTGCATTTATTATGTATGGATCTGCCTAGGCAGGCTACCTTTTGTGCTGAATTTGGATTCTGTAGTTTCCTTGTTCTCCCAACACCGGCCCGAACTGAGATCGTGTCTGAGAACTAGCAGATAAAGACTCAGGGAAATGACACCGCAAGGCAGAAAAAGCACAGAGTTACCCCTGGAAATCTGCAAACCTACTCTTCACTGGCTCACTAGTTCAAGATCTTGTTAAAAATCACTGCTTGGAGACTGCCTAGGGATAGCAATGACTCAAAGTACTCCCTACCTTGAAAGTGCTGGTGCTTGACCCAGTTTTTGCCAAAAAAAAAAAAAAAAAAGGACATCAATTGAATTCCTACCCTTACATTTCAGCTCACTAGCAACAGGATGCTTGTGGCTCTAAAAAAAATTTGGCTCTAAAACGTAATAATCCAGCTTGCCAGCCGAGTAACTACTGCTTCCAACAGTCCTGTTTGTAAGGTTAACTCGGCCTCTCCTGTCTACAGTTTCCATGATAGCGATGGGATCCTCAATGCTGAAGTGCCATGTCCTCAGCAGCAGCATGGCAGCAGTTCCCTTCTCTCCAGACAGCTTGAGTATTCTTCAGAGACACTCCCCAGTCATTTTCAGTTGATGCAAACTTGTCACTTTTTTAAGGTGTGGTAATCAACCACTGGTCAGGCTGACTGGGTGCTACCCAACCCACTTCTGTTTAATGACAAAGAGTTCACCCCACAAGCCCTGGTCAGAAGGCAATTTAGATCTTTAAGAATATGATTTTAATTTTTTGCTGGTTTATTTGGTAGAAATCAGTGATATATCTCTAACCACCCTTAAGAACAGTCCACCAACATCTGAAAAGCCTGCCCTTTATATTTTTATGAACGAGAAGTTATGCATGTCCCCCAACACAGAAGTTACTATGAAGGCTACTCAGTGCACTTTGATAATGTGATATTGAAAAACTGCTATTTTCTTGCAGGTTTTTCTGTAAGGGTGTAATTTTGGCAAAATGTAACAGCTACTGAGAGCTGAGAGCACATTTTTCTGCTGCATGAAAAGAGGCCTATCAGAAACTTGATTGTAGGTGAGTGATTTTCAGACTAGTTTTCAGCCAGCTCTCATATGTTACATTTACCTAATATCTACTCTAAATCATACTGGCTTGCCTCTCTGCTGAGAACAGCCAGGGTAATACAGCTTCATAGACCTCAGCCTCTACAGTAAGGTACCTGAAATACTAAGACTCTGATCCTTTGGCTGATGAGAAATTTTGAATCCATGTTTAATCTCCTTAAGCCTGAAGAGATATCTATATCACCTATGTATGTATATAGATACAGTTGCATCTTCATTGTTTTTTTCTTTCATTTATTAATAAAGACAAAATTGGATTGCTGCTTACATATACCTCCTTAAAATAGTTTCTGAATACCTAAGAGATTGTATTTCATAGAATCATTGAATGGTTTGGGTTGGAAGGGACCTTAAAGACCATCTAGCTCCAACCCCCCTGCCATGGGCAGGGACACCTGCCACTACACCAGGTTGCTCCCAGCCCCATCCAACCTGGCCCTGAACACTTCCAGGGAGGGGGCAGCCACAGCTTCTCTGGGCACCCTGTTCCAGTGCCGCACCACCCTCACAGGAAAGAATTTCTTCCTCATATCTAATCTAAATCTACCCTCTTTCCATTTAAAAACATTCCCCCTCATCCTATCACTACAATCCCTGACAAAGAGTCCCTCCCCATCTTTCCTGTAGGCCCCCTTTAAGTACTGGCAAGCCGCCATAAGATCTCCCCGGAGCCTTCTCTTCTCCAGGCTGAACCACCCCAACTCTCTCAGCCTGCTGTCATAAGGGAGGTGCTCCAGCCACCTGATCATCTCTGTGGCCTCCTCTGGACCTGCTGCAACAGGTCTACGTCCTCCTTTTATTAGGGGCCCCAGAGCTAGATGCAGTACTCCAGGTCGGGTGTCACAAGAGCAAAGCAGAGGGGCAGAAGCCCCTCCCTCGACCTGCTGGCCACACTGATCTTGAGGCAGCCCAGGACACGGTTGGCTTTCTGGGCTGTGAGCGCACATTGCTGGCTCACACTCAGTTTTCTGTCCACCAACACCCCCAACTCCTTCTCCGCAGTGCTGCTCTTAATCCATTAATTGTCCAGCCTGTTTGTGCTTGATATTGCCCTGACCCATAGGTAGGAGCTCGCACTTGGCCTTGTTGAACTTCATGAGGTTTGCATGGACCCACCTCTCAAGCCTGCCCAGGTGGCTCTGGATGGCACCCCTGTCCTCCAGCCTGTCAAGCACACGACGTTGTTTGGTGTAGTCAACAAACTTGCTGAGGGTGCACTCAATCCCACTGCCCATGTTGCCTACAAAGATGCTAAATATTAGATATTTCCTCCAACAATGTATTCTTTGCTTGCTTGTTTGACTAATTCTACATGAGGTATGATTAAATCTTCCACATCATTTCACAGGTGCTTTGATCTGAGGCCTGAATTTATGGTAACAGAAAAGAATGCTGCTCTCTAAGATGTACAGCACGCATCACCCTTTGCTTGAGAACACAGATACTGTCCTTCCTCTGGCTACTGAACTGTAATTTCCTCCAAACATCTGTGACTCCGGGTATTCTAGATGTAACCCTGATCCTCCTGCATACAGGAGGTTGCTTTGTTACTGACCAGAGAATGTCTGGATTGCCAGAGGCTTTCTTAAATAATTCGGCCTCCAAGGACAGGATGTTAGTCAATGCAGTAACTTTAGAAAAAAGATGTGACTCAATCTTGCTTCTCTGGCAAATTAAATATTTTATTTCCCCAATGTGTCCTTTAATTTGGAGCAGGACAACAATATCACAGATGTGCTGACGCATATTGTCTACTGGTATTTTTGGTGGAAGTATTTTGGGATTGTTACAGCAAGAATTTTTTTTTTGCTATACAAGAGGAGAAATGAAATATCCCAAAGGGCACCAGGAAACCTGCCCTTGGTCTTGGAATCACAAGTGATAAATCATTCCTCTCAGACATGCTTAAGAGCTGTCCATCCTGGTTTACTGTAACCTCCATGTTCTACAGCAGCCTCGGAAACCTGGGAGAGCACTGCAAGCTCTACAAATTCTGAAGTAGGCCTGGCCAACACAAGCATGAAAAGCCACGTCTCGGCGCAGTTAACTTCAGCTGCAGAAGTACAGACTTGCCCCGGACATCTATTTCAGAGCACACCCCTGTCTCCAGGTTTTGTTACCGACGCTGCATTCTTTTGCAGCCTAACTGTAAGTGCAAACTCCTGCCGCACGGCACGCCGCCTGGCGCTCTTGGTAGCAGATCTCTCGAACTATTTGGGTTCCGTCTCTAGCCAGAACTAAGTCATACAAGTGAAACAAGCTCCCTGTTTTCTGCCACAGTGCAGAAAACCACGGAAACAAACCCTCTTCAGGCATCGTTTCCCTGTGAGGGGACGTGTTGCCCGGATGCACCTCCTCCACCCTCCAACGCCTTCTGCCAGCCGGGGGGCGGGCAGCAGCCCTGGGAAGCCGCCGCGGTGCCGGCAGGCCGAGGGCCGCAGGTTTCCCACTCCCCTCCCGCCCCGCCGTGCCCTCCTCCCAGCATGCAGCGCGGGCCGCCCGCGGGGCCGCGCGTCCGCGGGAAGGGGCGGGGCACCGCCCTCCCCCCCTTCCCTCCCCCCGCCCGCCGCGGGAGGGCCGCGAGCGTGGCCGGTGGCGGGGGGGCGCGCGCGGGACGGCCCGGGACCGGGCGGGGAGGGCTCCGCCCATCGCAGTCCGGCGGGGAAAGCGGGGCGACAGCCAATGGGGGAAGGCGTCCCGCGGGGCGAGGGGCGGGGCTACAGGAGGCGGGGCCGGCGCGGAGTTGCCGCAGCGCCGCCGCCGCTTGTAAACAGATCCCGCCCCACGTGACGCGCGCGCGGTACCTGCGCGGGCGCACCGGGCATTGTCCGCCGCGGCGGCCGGTCGGTGACCAGGGGCGGCGGCAGCGCGCTCCCACCCGGAGAGGAGGCGACTTCTTGCTGTGCTGCCTCCCTCCCTCCGTCGCTGCTCCGGCGGGGAACTAGCGCATCCTCCCCGCCTCGGCGCCTTCCCCCGTGCCCCCGCCGCTAAGATGGCTGATGGTGGGCAGTGAGGCGGCGCGCGGGGCTGCGGGGAGCCGTTGCCGACCGGCGCGCGGCGGGCCGGGCCGGGAGCAGGGGAGGGGGAGCGTGTGAGGAGCCGCGCAGCGCCATGTCCGCCTTCGCCCTGGAGGAAACGCTGGAGGCCGACTGGGTGGCTGTCAGGCCGCACGCCTTCCAGGAGCGGGAGAAGCACAAGTTCGTCTTCATCGTGGCCTGGAACGAGATCGAGGGCAGGTTCGCCATCACCTGCCACAACCGCACGGCGCAGCGCCAGCGCAGCGGCTCCCGCGAGCTCCGCCGCGGCGGCCCCGCCGAGGCCAGAGCCGCCCCCAAGGCCGGCAGCCCCGCGGCGCGCAGGGAGGCCGGCCTGCCGCGGGGGCCCTCGCGTCCCCGCCCTGAGCCGGGGCTGCGCAGTTCGGAGCGGGGCACAGCGGCCGAGGCGCTGCCGAAGAGCCCGCCGTGCCCCAAGAGCAACCCGGCCCGGAGGTCGCAGCGGGGCCCGGAGGCGGCAGGTGCCGCCGAAGATCTAGAAGTGCTGGAGATGGCAAAGGAGGAGGCGGCCGCCGCGCTGTCGCTGCTGCCCTCACCGTTGCAGGCGACCGAGCCGGCCGCCCCCGACGCCGAGCCCCCGGGGGAGGAGTGCAGCTGGGCCGGCCTCTTTTCCTTCCAAGACTTGAGGGCCGTGCACCAGCAGCTGTGCTCCGTGAACTCGGAGCTGGAGCCCTACCTGCCTGCCTTCCCCGAGGAGCCCTCGGGCATGTGGACGGTGCTGTTCGGAGCTCCGGAGCTATCCGAGCAGGAGATGGACGCTCTCTGCTACAAACTGCAAGTTTACTTGGTCCACAGCTTGGATACCTGCGGCTGGAAGATCCTTTCGCAGGTGCTCTTCACCGAGACCGACGACCCTGAAGAGTATTACGAGAGCCTGAGTGAGCTGCGACAGAAGGGGTACGAGGAGGTGCTGCAGCGTGCCCGCAGGCGAATCCAGGAGGTGAGGATACTGCATGGTTCAGATATCTACACATTACTGTTACATTTTCCTTACACTGTGACATCTTCAGGCTTCTCTCCCTTAAGTCCCCTCTACGTTTGCAGAATTGATCCATCCAAAGGATGAAAAAAAAAGTACAGGAAAACTCTCTAAAAAAAAAAAAACAACTTTGAGAATCTTAGAAAGAAAATGAGGCTTAACCTTTCCAAGGTCTCTGAGGCCAGGATTTAAGAAGGTGCAGATTTCCCTATTCATCTACGTGTGGCTCAATTCTTTATGCTATGCAACCAAATGTGGATGTTTGTGAAAAAGTATCTGATGGATTTGGCAAGGTCTTGCTCCCAGATTTTTGTTTTTGTGTTGCTTTGCAGCAGGATGTCTTGGCGTCTGAATTTTTCTGTTTAACGGGAGCAGCAACATGTATTTATTTTGACAGTGCAATTTAGGCACTTGAGGCCAAAAAATTCTAGGTTCCTACAGGGCCTGGGTGCTGAAAGTGGTATTTCAAGTGAGATGATGTTGGAATTGGAGTAACAACAACTTTTGTTCAGCTGATGAGTTCTTAGAGTTGGGATTTTAAAAGCAAGTGATCTGGTTCTAGCAAGTATTCACTGTGTTGACGTTGCTAGTGTCTGGCAAGACTTGGATGTTTCAGGACACACCCTCTATCTTTCTCTTACCATATACTGTTCAGACGAAAGTAGTTGAGATTCTCTTAACTAACTAGTAGCATCAGTGTGTGAGGATTTTTTCATATCTTTGTGGGCTGAGGTATGTGAGGACCCAGATTTCCCCAGTGTGAAAGGAGTATTTTATACTTGTGTTTATGTTTCAGTGTTCTTGGTACAGAATGTACCAGGATCTATCTATCTAGGTGTGACTATGTGTATGAATCAGGTTATGGAGTTTTTTATTTTTGCAAACACCATCTAAATTCTGTTGTATGGTTATAGGTCAAATTTGGCTGCTTTGGCTGCTGGCGTATATCCCACCAGTGTTGTTCAAAAATGTGTGGTGGTGAATGTTTTTCTCATGATGGAGTGTGAGAGTATCTACTTCCTGCCTGTTTTGATGACATGGTTTTGAGTCTTTGTAGGATTTAGACCAAGCTTTTCCTTAGTGACTGGAGTTACAGAGTATGAGAAAATTGTTTTATTAATGACGTAATCATAAGAGCATCCAAGTGTAGCATTATCAGGTAAGAGTTCATTCCCAAACTGTTTTGTTAGGGCTTATCACTGTGATTTTTTTCTTTATTTTTTTCATGGCTCTTTAAATGGCTGAATTAATCCTCACTAATTTTGGTATATATATTTGGTAATGAGTCTGACAGTCTTCTGCAGAGAATATGAAAACATACAATCCTTTGCTTTTTTGTTTGACTGCATGAATGCTTGGGAGTGTGTGCTTAGATTGTCTTAACCTTCAGCTCAGCAGTTTTTATAAGAAGCTGAGCAGGACAAGAAAAATTCCTGTTAAATGTGTGGATTTGGGGAACTGGGTACCTAACTCAAAGCATGCGATGTTTTAGATAAAACACTAATTCAGAATTACTGAGCAAGAACTATTTGTTTCTTGGAGAATCTCAACTTCTATTTTTTTAGCACCAGTACTATCGTCAAAAAATAAATCGGCTTTTGATAGGCAGTGCAAACTTCATCCATCAAGTTCTCTAAAACTACCACATCTTACTCTCTGTTAATGCTCAGAACTTGGTGCAAACAAAATAGCAGAGCCGATGTGTATATTTGACTACAGTACAGCCTTCCTTTCCCATGGTAACCATAGTGTACCTAAAGTCAGTACAGCTGTACTTCTGTCACTGTCAGTTGTGTAAATTGATCCTTCTTTAATTAAAAGTAGTTCATGTTTAAGAAAAGAAACCAATAGAATGACCTGCTTGTTCCCTCTTGACTCTCGGGTTTCTCTTTTCCTTACCTGTTAGTGGTTTACTTGGGCCACAGGAAATGTCTTTATTTTAAGTAAATACTGATACTGTTTGTCATTGCAATTCTAAGCAAATGAAGCAATGGATGATGGGTACCATTTGGTATTTCTGAAGTAAAGGTTTCTCATACTTTAAGGAAAACCTGCTGAATCCATACGTCATCTCACACTTTAATTTCTGTGCTTGAAATCTGTTTGTTAGCTGATTGCAGGAATGTTGGATTCCTGCAATTTTAAACGATCTTACCTCTAACAAGAACTTTTGGAGTAAAGAGGCAGTGATTGAGCAGCATTGGTAACAGAAATGGTATCTAGGAGAATAATGAATGTGGAGGGTCTTCATTTATGTAAAATTGTGCAAAAAACCAAGAACCCCAAGACATTGGCTTAACATCTTAAAATGTGGTTTATAATTATTTCTTATATCTACTTTTTTTCCAGGACAAATTCCTTAGTGCAGATAGAATACTACTTGAGAAATGCTTGCAGTTTCTGCTGATTATATTCTTTGGGGTGGAGAAGCAAAGTGAGCAACAAAACCCCTTGTGTTCGTTGTTTCAGCATCCCCCATTTGTCCATCTGTTGATTACATTGTTACACACAAGCCAGTTTATTTTCACAGCAGTTAATAATTGTTGTTTTTTCTAATAGTTATTTTTATCTCTGTCTCAATTATAAACCTTTAATAAGCCGGAAGAATGATGCAACTAGAAACAGATCCAAGATGAGGAAGAAAAATAGTTGTAGAGGAACTGTATGACCGGGAGTTATTTTCTTCTGCATAATTTTCAGGTTTGAAAAAGCACATCTTTTACTTTTTAAATATAAAACTATTAACTCTGGAGTAGTTTAGGAATTTAATTTATGTTAAAGTAAAAACTTGTATCTAAAAGAGCAAATAATTGTTCTACTTCATTTTTGAAAACTAATAAACACTTCTTTGGAGCCCTTGTTCAGGAGGTTTATGCCTGTCTTAAAAAATTCCTCGGTGGTTTAGCTAGAGGTCTAAGTTCCCAAATGGAGACATGATACAGAATCAGTTAATAATCAGATAAAAAGATGTTACTATTTCAACAGAGAGCATGCCACTGAATCCTTATTTGGGATTCCAGTTTCTTGGCCAGTATTTCCAAAAATCTTAAACTTTGCATCTAGGAGGCAGAAGTTCACCTCTGTACTCTTGCTCCTGCCTGCTTCCTGTCTGTTGTTCTTCCTATAACATGAGAGTTTTTCTAGGCTAAGCGTACAGGCTTGTAAATTCTTGTGAGTGTAGTAATATCAAAGATGATGTCATACCTCTTTGCCAGTGTTGTGTTGGCAAAAGGTTGAATGTAGTCACAGTTTTCCTGAATAAAAAGTGGTGCTAGTATAAACTATGATTAAGAGGGTTTGGTGGTTTAGTCATGCCAACAAACACATTTCATTGTATGTTTGTCCTTTTACTTGCTCTCGCATAGCGAGTTGTGCGTTTGGGAAGCCTATCTTTATATTACACACCTACTTCAGCATCTTTGAATGATTGACACCTGTGAATCTCCCTGTTCCTTATAGCTCTTGACATGACAGTCTGAAATTTGGTGAATGATAGTCTGTAGGATCTTGAAGGCAAGTGATAAAGCACTTCTGTTTTCTTGTTGCTCTGTAAAATCTATGAATTCTAGTGTCTGCAGGCAGAATGTTAAAGACCATTTTGCACCTCTGTTCTTTGTGTGTTCTTTTGAATGGCTTTAATGTTACAGTTCTTAAACATTTTAGTGTATGATTAAATTCTGAAGAAATCCTGAGAGCATCTTATTTTCTGTGGCTAACTTAAGACTGCCTTGAAAGTGAGGACTTGATGCTATTTTTAGTCTCCTTCCCCTTTATAGGGGAATAATTTGCTAAGCATGAGAATAGCCCAGAAAACTTCTACCTTGTGTTAGTTGGCCTAATTTTGTTTTGATTCAAGGGATAGAAAGGCCCAGGATAAGTGGAAATAAAAATCCTTTATTTATTTTGTTACAGCAACAACTTGTATGAGAAGAAAATGTAGGGGTTTTTGATAGAAAGCTGTATGGTCAATTTATTTTCTTCTTAAATCATTATGGATGGAATTTTTTTTTATTAATTTTGCACAGCTTAATAGGCAAGGTTGTTTTTTTTTTGTTTTGCATGACATATGATTGTTAAATCACACAAATTGGTGAGGAATTGGTTCAGTTATAAATCATAGAATTTCACATTTCTTGCTTTCCAAGGGTGTAGTCATGTATTCTGTTTACATCAAAATCTAAATAATATCCATAGGTTAATCTTTTGTTTTTTCAAATCTGTTCTAATATTTTAGTGAAAAATAATATTCAGGGTTATCTCGCTAACTAGGAGACTTTTATTTCCTTGCTTTTGGCCACATGCATTCATTTCTAAACTAAATGTGTATATAGTAGGTAGCGGGGCACTGTACCAACAATACAAGTTTTCTAAAGGTAAGGTAACCTGATGCTGTTCAGTGATCCACTGCTAGACACAATTTGATTTAAAGATTCAACATAAAACTCCAAAATATTTAAAAAATAAATAATATAGAACACTACAAAAAAGTAATTTGTGTTTCAGTAACGCAGAAAAATGCTAGTAGTGTTTCCATCAAAACCAGTATAGCATCTTTCTGTGTAAGAAAGAAAGAAAAATGAATCCTGTATAAGAAAGGAGAACACTACTTCAGATTTAACTTTGAGAGCACAGGATTAAAATAAGATATACTGTGGATTTTTTTTTTTTTCCTATTGACATGAGTAGGGAAGAGTTAAGACTAGCGCTGAGCGTTCTGGAAATTCAAGCTATTTTTGTTTGAATGCTTCTTTTTACGTACTCATTATTTGTAGTGTTAACACTTGTTTCCAGTAAAACTGCTTTGATTCACTGCTAGATACTTCGTGAATAGGCTGTTTAAGTACTGGACCAGTACTATAAGTTAGTACTAACCAAAATATAGTATGGCAACAGCTGTAGGGTATGCTCTGTAGAACAGGTAGGTAACCTCCAAGTTTTTAGGAGATGCCTACGTGATATTT